CTCTCACGGCCTCACACTACTGAGGTGGCCCCACAGATACCAGGGATTCACACAGATACACCTTCTGCAGGAGGACCACACAAAACATTATATACGTCTTTAAACACACACACACCATACAAAGCTCAGCAGGTCTAGAAAGGGTTGAGTTTCCTCAAGAATTCAAAGTAGAAGAGAACAGGGGAAGAGAAATGAGGTTTTTTTATGACATGTCACAGTCCATGACTTTAACCTTGTGTCTCCCTCCCCAAGCTCCTGACCTCTCGACAGTATTCATGGGGCTCCCAGTCCAGGACACACCGGCCCTTCTTTGGGTGCTGAATGCAGCATACCCAAAGCCTCAGTTCTCATTGTCTGCCTGGTTTGGGGAAGGCTGGATGTGGGGTGGAGGGTAACGAGGAGGGAGAGGACCAATGCCCGGCACCTGCAGGGAAAGAATTCTCAAGGCACTGGGGCAAACAATGGTAAGGAAGAGGGAGACCAGAAACTTCAACGCCGTCCGCCGTCCACCGTGCCGCCCATCGGCAGGCAGCAAGCCCTGAGAGCCCAAATCCACACAACCGGCTCGAAACACGGCCCAAGCCCCATGTGCCGAAAAGGAGACATGTGCCTGGCAAGTGTGGGAAGCTCCCCTCCTGGGTACCAGAAAGCTTTTCTGGCACGATTGGCAGCCCCTGGAGGAATAAAGTGCCGGCGCAGTGGGAAGGGCCTGCCAGTGCGCAGCGCGGGTGCAGGTGTGAGGACGCAGCTGACAACCCCGCCGAGGGCCCTTTGAATCCCGGGGAAAGAGAAACAGAGGAGCTCCTGGCTCCTGGCTAGGGAAAGAGCCTGGCAGACACTGACCCGTCCGTGGGCTGCGGAGCCCAGGCCCCAACGGTCCTGCCCCCACCCCCAGCCCCGAATTGCGTCTGGGTGGGAGGGCGACCTGCGGCTCCGTGAGGGCCGGGGGTGGGGGCCGTACTCACAGGCGCTCGGTGTTCCGTGGGATGTTCTTGGGGATGGCCTGCAGCCCCGTGCCGTGGCAGTCCACCGTGGTGCCGGTGCAGGTGCAGAGGGCGGGGCACGCCGTGGCACCCAGGCGCCACGCGGCTGCCCACAGCAGCAGCCAGAGCTCGGGCCG